GACGCTGCGTAATTGATCCGCTGCGTTTCCATGTGCGCTCCGAGACGCGCACCTCCATCCAAAAAATCCTTGATTGTTGGCACGCCTCCTTCCCTCGCTGCAATGTTTCCTTCTCTCCCCCCTTAATTCATCTCCGTGTCCCCCCTTTTCCTCTCAGACTGTTGTGGAAGACTTGATCCTCTGGTTCCCATCTGCGCGTCACAGAGAAGGAGGGAAGGAGGGAGAGGAGGGAGGAGAGGGGGGAGAGAGCGCAGCGAGCATTCCTCCACACAGGCCGAGCTTCTTCAAAGTATTTCGTATTTTAGTCGGTATCAGGTCGTCGATTACTTTGTTTAAATGCTCATAAAGACTGAAACAACAAAAACAACGACCGTGTTTGGGATTTAACTATAAAATAAAAACACGGTTTTACCGGATGTTCTTTAAATCAAATTTCAGTAAAATTCGTGAAGAACATTCATTGGGTTCGTTTAGTTTCCATGTATAAAATTTAATAAAACAAGCCTTAAAAAAATTAAATTCCCATCAGCAGAAAATAAATATTTATTTATTTATTGGTGCCATTAAAGTCACCTTTATTATTGTTTTAATGATGATGATAATTGTGTGTATTTATCAGCTGCAGTTCCACCGTGTGACCGCCGTTTTTGACACAAAGTCAGAGGAAAAAAAACTCGTTTTTAAACATAAGTTACTGATCTTACCTACTGTATTTTTTACTGCTCAAAGTATTTAAAGATTTATCAACTTATTAAAACATAATTTCTCTAAACTTCAAACTAGAACAGAGTCAAAGTAAAACCGAGAGAATCAAACAAGTTCTATTTAGTATAGGTATAAAAGGAGCATCCACCAAAGGCTACGTCATAACATACGTCATCTCTTAACTTTCACTGAGCGAAAACTCAAATGATTTAATCCTGTCGCCCCCTACAGTAACTGTGAGTGTTCATGAGATCAGGTCAAAGGTCAGAGTGTTAGAATCAGGGGCAAAAACTGTTGGTGTGTGTGGGATTGGAAATATTGTTAAAACTATATATCTGAGTATTTTTTAAAAAAATACTCCATCATACAACAAGTCCATTTGTAATGGTCTGTGGTCAGAAGAGTTCAAAGGTCACGATGAAGATCTGACCACGATGAAAAACTAATTGAATAAAAGAAATTATTATAAAAGAAAAAATTTTCCCCAAATGATTAATTAACGGGTTATGTAGCAAAGAATTACTGCAATATTTTATTTTAATAAAATAAATTTAGTCAGTCATTGAAAAAAAAACACTTGAATATTTTTGGAGAACAACAAAAAAAAAAAACATTCTAAAATGTAATAAAATACTTCCAGGTAAATGTGTACTCCTCTAAGTATTTTATTTTTCACATCTTTAAACCAAATCAATAATTTTTGACGAGACACTGTGGATGTTCTTGTTCTGGTCCGTAAACGCACCACGCGTCGTCTGTGCGCAATGGTGTTTTTTTTTATTAAATAAAAAATATCACATTTAAATGAACACAAACATTAACCCTGAATTTTTTATTTTCTTCTTCTTCTTTTTCTTTTTAGGCCGTCGGTTGTTCTCCACAGACAGATCCACTCCACTGTTGTTTCACGGCGCGGGTGGGTAAATAAAGAACATTTAAGAGCAGCAGAAAGGCACAAATATTTAAGTCTGTTAATCCAGACCATCTGGACTCGGGAATATCTGCACTTTCCTCCACATTTCTGTCGGAGCTAAAATTTCCTGTATCAATTTGGAGGCTTTTCTCCCCCCTGTCCCCCCCCAAAGCGCCCTCTTGTCTCCCGTTCCTCCGGTGCAGCAGCAGGAGGAGGATCCGTGCTGCTGCTGCTGCTGCTGCGGTGCCCAGTGAGGGTGTGCGCCGGTCTGGTTCTCATAAGTGCACAGATCAAGTGAAGCTGGGCGCACGGCACAGAAACTAGGCAGTAATGACAGCTCGGGATTATTACATTACGGCCCGACATGAAATAGATCCGCTCTACATAAATAAAAGTCATCGAAGGCTCTATATAAAATGGTTTTAATCACGTGGTATAATTGCTCTGCGGAGAAAACAAATGAGGGCAGTGTTTACGGCACGCTTGGTTTGGACGCTGATGGAAATGGAGACGTATGACCAACGGGGATCACATGTTCTCTGTCATCATGACCTGCCTCAGCAGCGCCGCCAGGGTTTCTGTTTACCCCTCTCTCTCTCTCTCTCTTCTCGTCTCCTTTTTTTTTCCCTAGGCTTCCCTCCAGAGCAT